TTTGCGCTTCGCCTGGGCTCTTGGCTTAATAAATTGCAATTGTTTGCAAGCTAAACTTTGTTTCTCTCGGCTCCTTCTCAGGACTCTCAGGGCATTCAGGGGTGCCTGCTCCGTGTTGCCATGTCCATGGCCCACTTTTGTTTGTTCTCCGGCTGTGGTTGTGGATTTTGTAATTGGTTTGGTCTGCATTTGACAAAAAAAAGTCGAACAAAAAATGGAATCAAGCGCAAGAAAGTTTATCATTATGGCCGGCGACGGACGGCAAACAAAGTTTTTCGCAAAAATTCAGTCGCAGAAAATATACATTACTTTTTTTATATTTTTTTATTTTAACTGCGGTTTGTCTGCGTGTGCGGTTAACGAAGCAAATAGAGAAATGTTCACACAGTGCTGAAGTCAAATATTTGGCCAAAAGTTCCATAAGCCAAATAGCCAGACAGTCGACAGGGTTGCCCGGCCTCTTCCAAGCTCGGTTTGATTTTTGCCATTTAATAAGCAATTGTTGCCTCTCCAGAAAAGTTGATTAACATGCAAAAAGCAACAAAAAAATCAAAACAAAATATAAACAAAAACTGTTGAGCAAACGAAAGAGAAACTAAATATTGGAATACAGGGGAGTACTGGTACTCGTTGGAGATGAAATGCTGCCAGAAGGGGTAAATTGTTTAGATTACAGGGAGCATGGAAGGACACTGATATGCAACAGACACGCTGCCAGACAAACAAACAGAGAGAGGCAGAATCAGGCCAACAAAAAGGACTGGACATGAATGCATCCACAAGGGAGAAAGAAAAGTCTTCTTCAAAAACAGAAAACCGAACCGAAGCCAAGCCAAAGTCCTGGAGGAGGCAGTTACAGATCAGAAGAGGCAGGACCAACATGTTATTGTTTGCATTTGTTTTTCCATGCCATCATGCTATCATGGTAGGGAGCAGGGAAGGGAATATTTCAAACCCCACAAGACTCGGGTTAACTTGGCTAGCAAAAATATTTGGTTGAAAGCGTACGAAAGAAGAAAAGACCGACTGTGCAACCGCAAGTTATAGGCGAAGGTCGGACGGGGGGCGAGCGGCGGGGCAACAAATAATAACCGAGCATTTCCTGCTTCCCCTGCGCTCGCATTCCTGTTGGACAGGACATGAAATTGTTTAAATTATTTACACAAGCTGGAAAATTAAAATGGACAGCTGCTGTGGCGGGTGGCGGGGGAGTAAAGCAGCAGCCAGTCATTGTTATGACTGTTGCAACTGCTTGGGTCAAGTGCTGCTATGTTGTATCTAGCACGTACATGACGGCGCATAGGATGGGGAGACTAGAGTGGCAGTCGAGTGGAAGTGGACCAGTAGTCACTCCAAAACTGTAGTTCATAACTTTTCATTCTCTCTCCCATTTTCTCTGTGTCCTTTTCCTACTTTGTTGTGTCTTTGGGGCTTATCTTTGGTCCCAGGCAAATTTTAATTATTAGCATACATTCCCAGAGACCCGAGACCCGTCTGAGTTTTATGAGTTTGATTGTTCTCTGCTCTGCTCTGTGTGCTACTCACATTGTGTATGCGTAATGCGTACGTCTGTACATAATTGGAAAAAATCAAGCGTACGCCATGGTGTGCCATTGTCTTTGACGAAGGAGAGAGGTTAGCAATCGGATGGCCATAACACACAGCTGCTACAAGTGCACTTGGACCAGAGGCCCTGCCTTCCAGAAGAGTGAGTGGAGCCGAGAAGGAAATAATAAAATTAAATGTTGACTGAGGGTCCTGTTTGGCCCTGTTCCCTGGCAGCTATTGCTGGCTGTTATTGCTGCACCACGAAATGTTTTAGATAAAATGGCTGAATTTAAGAGCAGCCTATCACAGTCGAAGACTCAATTAATCGATGACAATTCAATTAGCTCCGAGCCCATGAAACAAAAAGGATTCATTCCCATTCTAGAAAGATGGAGAGAAGAGATCTCTCTCACAGCAAACTTTTCTTCCACATTTCGAGCATCCTTCGGATGGCAGGCAGCATTGTTGGGGCAAACTACTAAACAGCTGAAGAGTTCGGTGTGGGAATTGAATGGCCATAAGAAAAGTTTACCGTTTAATTGGACAGGCAAATAGGCAGCAGGCTGGAGGCAGGGAGGGAGCGGCAGCGACTCGTTGAGTGTCTAAATGTCAGTAAGTTTCTCCAGTTTTCCCAGCTGCTTCAGGGAGGTGGAGGGTTTGTTCGCTTTCGGCCAAACAATGAGCTAAATTTTCCATGGAAAACTACTAAGTAAGCTTGTTAATTAAATACGCATTACCGCCCCTGTAATTGCCTGTGACGCGCTGCTTAGCAACAACTACAACCACTACTCCACTACACTCCCCACCACCGATGCATCGGTGGCAAATGGGGGAGCGAGACAAAACCTAATTGTTAAAGTCAAGTGCAAAGTTTTTGCAAAGTCGGGACTCCCCGCAATCGTCAATATATCATGGCAGAAATAAGCAGACATTAAATTTAATTACCCAATGACACCTCGACCACAGGGACAGAGACACGGCCGCCCATTGCTGGATAGCGGAAAAATAATTTTAAATTCAAATATGAGCTTAATGATCCTCGCGATTCGCGACTCTGATACTGCAAATGACAATTAATTAGCGCATATTTCACTGCAGTCGCAGTCGCAGACCCCAGTTGCAGTTGCAGTCCGCATGTCAAAAGCCATTTTCCTCACACAAATCATCAATCACGACCTCCCCCAGAAAATAAGTCGCGGAATGCATCAAGCTCCCGAGTAACTGCAGCAAAAAAGGTTAATGGGTTAAAAAATCAACCTCAACTCGGGTCGTCAGCGTCTGCATCGTTGCTTATTGTTTGCATTGTTTTCGAACAACAAAAAACAGGGCAGAGGGAGTTTAAAAAAAAGGGCGCGCACCGCAGGTACGACTATGTTGGGTAATTTGTGAGTTGGAATGTTTTTTAGCGGCAGACTTAGCCGCACTGCAAGCGTTTTTACGGCTGTGGCCTTTTCTAACACGACACTCGGCCATTTAACGCTTTACGGCATTGGATTTATGCAACGTGATATGCAAAATGCCATGGCATGCAAATGCAACCGCTAAATGCAAGGAAATTTCCAACAGGAAAACTGCAAATAAAACCCGGGAATGAATACTCAATTGGGTGTATACTCGTAAGGATGTCGCACTGCAAGATATCCGCCAAACAAGTTGCGAATTAAATTTGTAAACATTTTCTTTTCTAAATTACTGCTGGCACATACAATATTTATATTTAGCATTTAAATTGAATAGCTAAAATCAATTAAATGTATGTCCCGCATGGTCGAAATTTCCTGTGTTTTCTAATTGAGCATATTCTATAAATTTCTCCTATTTAAAAATATATTTATGTTAGAACTATTGAAGTGATGACATTTAATTAAAGCAAATATTTTAATCAAACAGTTCGAGTTTGTTAAAGCAGAAACGCTTTATAAAAGCCAACAAATTATCAGCTTTTTGTTAGTTTTTATCACTGCTCTTCAGCTTTAGCAGAGTTTAATCATATCTGGCCTCATTGTTCTACCCGCTGCGGGTGATGCCCCCTCCTCCCATCAACTGGCCAACTCGGGTGTCCTTAAGCTGGGCAGAGCAGAGCTGTGCTTTTATTTACCCCTTTGGCTTTTGCTTTGGCTTGAACAAGTGCGGCTCTTTTTGCCCCCTTCGGTGCGCTCACACACACTCACACCCACACACCAATAGTGAGTGCAGTCACTTCGACCTGCATGTTATTCATGGATAAACACACACACACACATAGATACACACTAACCGACCTCTAACCGCGACCGTCCTCCAGCCCCTCCCCCTGGAGAGGTATCCTCCCCTCATCTGCTCTCGGCCAACTGCCAGACCAACAATTTTCTAAACTCGCGCGCTGCGCACGTAATAAAAAATACGGCAGCTTGGGCTATGTTGTTGTCGGTGCAACTGCACTGCAAAAAAAATAAACAGTTCCACAAATCATAGCATTTTTCGATAGGTGGTATAAATTCCTGTTTTTATCATAATAGAATATGGTAATTTTTTTCAGTGTGTTGGAAGGATGGTTGTGCAGAAAGAGGAGGCCGACTGGCGCGCTAAGCTGTGCTAAACATTCCCTAAATATATTTTGCAACAGCTCCTCCACACACACACACACACAGACCCTCACATAAGATAAGCGGCGCACATACCGCACCAACCCGAACCTGAACTAGCTGGTGGTGGCGCTTGGGATTTGGGTTTGGCTTGGGATGTTCCAAGGTGTGTGGTTCGAGGTGGGCGTGGGTCTAGGAGAACACAGAGAGCGCACAGAGCAATGAAACTTTTTGCGCCTGAATATTTTTGCAAAACTATTCACAGTTGATTTTTCACCTGATGCTTTTCATCCTAGTACTCGTACGTCCTCTGCCCAGTATCTGTGTGTGTGCGTTTGAGAGCGAGTGGCTTTGTGTGAGTGCAGCTGCAGCTGCCTCTGGGTCTGCGAGTGGGTATGCGAGTGCTTAAAATATTTGTCCGCCCGACTGGCATCCACCTGCCAGACTCCCCACCGAGCAACTGACTTTGGCCTAGAGCCGCCTTGCGTATCCTTTATAGGGCCCCAACTTAAATGGAGAATCCATTGCCGCGCGTAGAAGTGCTGCAATGCCACGTTCAGGTAAAATTTTGAATGTGGCCAGAGCAGACTCTGGAGGGCCTTTTTTGCAGAGCTAGTTGTTTAAATTAAAACTATTTTTTAGAGCTTTTCCTATTTTAATAGATTGCATATTGAATGTAAATCAATACTAAGAAAATAATTAATATAAATATTTAATTTAAAACTATAGGATGTTGATTTTTCTTCCTTTATAATATTGTTATATTTAGTTACCCGATCCACGTATATTCTTCATGGAAGCTTTTATATTTACCTTCGCTTAAATATTTGATAAATAAACCCCTTTAAGCTCCACTAACCATATACCGTTTCCCATCTTTCATTGCAGCTATGGTCTTTTGGGCGCGTCTGGATGCGGCAAGACGACTCTGCTCAGCTGCATCGTTGGCCGGCGTCGTCTCAATTCGGGAGAGATTTGGGTGCTCGGCGGACGGCCGGGATCCCGTGGTTCCGGTGTGCCAGGACCCCGAATTGGCTATATGCCACAGGTGAGATGACCTCACAGTCTCTGTGCTGGCTGCCTGTGCCACTGCCTCTGTTGCTGGTAGTTGGTGAATTTTTCATGCGCTTTTTATTGCCTCATGCCCCATTCGACTAAATTAAATAAACGCAATAAAATGGTGAAAGCACAAAAGAAAACATATACCCAGCAAAAGTTTTAAATGCCGCACACACAGAGCGCACAAAACTTTTAATTTTCAGAATCCATAAGAATACCTTAACTCTGACCCAACTCTGACTCTCTGGCCCTCCACCGCTTCCCCCTCCTCCTCATGGGCCAGAGTCGAGTCATAAACAAGCCGCGCTGGAAAGTAGGCAACAGTTTTTCACTACGCTTGTGCAAGGAAGGGGCAGGTGGCAGATCTGGGGCATGTGGCATTGTGGTGTTTGTGCAGGTAAAAATACTATAATATCCGTGTTCCAATTTGGGTTTATTGCAGGAGATAGCCCTTTACGGCGAGTTCACAATGCGTGAGACCTTAATATACTTTGGCATTATCTCGGCCATGCCACGCAGCGACATCGAGGATCGCACCGAATTCCTACTCAAATTGCTCAATTTGCCAAATGGCTCGAAATTTGTCAAGAATTTGAGTGGCGGCCAGCAGCGACGCGTGAGTCTGGCCGTGGCCCTACTCCACGAACCGGAACTGCTCATTCTCGACGAGCCCACAGTGGGCGTGGATCCGGTGCTGCGACAGAGGTGAGTTATTCTTCAGGATTCGTGCACTCTTTCGGTATGGTGTGTGTGTGCTCTAGTACCAGTGACATCTGATTAACTCCTTCATTTACGCCTCTTCATCTCTCGTTTATTACAGCATCTGGGATCATTTGGTGGACATTACAAGAAATGGTCACACAACTGTGATAATCACCACGCATTACATAGATGAGTGTGCCCAGGCGCATATGGTAAGTGAAACCAGAAGGGAAATGGCAGTGGAAGCGGCACTGAAGGGCGGCCAAAGTGTCAATGGCCTCGGGTCGCCCACGCATTGTTTGTACGGGTGATTTATTGTCGGCTCTCTCACATCTATTTGTACTATGCCGCGTATGAGCAATATTATTCCGTCGCTGCCGCTGCCGGTGCCGCTGCTGTTGCTGTCGCTTCCGGTCGCAGCTGAGGTGAAAGTTCAGCTGGCAGCACGCTTATCAGCTCAAGTGAGGGCTGTCAACATGCGGTGCTAAGTGCTTCCGCCCGCCCTCTACTGTCTACTGTCGTGGCAAATTTGTATCCTGCGCGCTGCAACAAATCTGCGTCCTGTCTGAAAAAAAAGAATGGAGCAAAAAAAAAAACAACGGTCGAGTAGAATATTACAAGCGGCTGCCGCTGTTGACCCATGGCCGGGGCTCCAGATTTACGAGGCATTTCCGAGCGAGACACATTGCAAAAATTTACTTCAGATTTATTTATGTCGCACACATGGGAGCGGCTCAGGTTGATAGGGAAAGGGAATGGGAGCAGAGGAGTGGCGTGATCCATGGGGATAGGGAAATATAACTGCGTTAGTCATTTAATGCTGCAGCAAGCAATGAACTTGGCTGCAAGAAATACAAAAACACACGAATAAATCGTGACAAAGCTCACAATGGACAGCCAGATAGGCAGATACATATCCTTCTCGTACAGATACAGATACAGTCATGCAACACGCACAGGACGTGGGCACACATACATAAAACAAACAAAGTCCTTACAAGCTCTCAAGTGGAGTGTGAGATGGTTGAGGGTCGAATATATCAATGACAACACTTTGAAAAAGATTGATGCTGGGAAACAGACAAGAGATCGACTCTTGAGTCGACTCCACACCGAACGAAGCCTACTCAGTCACCGCTTAAATGGAATGATTGATTTTCTTCAAGAAATTATTCATTAAAGACATTTGTTTAGGATGGACCAGGAAGACCGCTAGCAAATATGATCTATTATTGAAAAATATATCACATAATTTGCACTCCTCTCTGATTAAATTCCACATAAATTTAATCGTGCGCTTTAAGGAACTTTTATGTCTACATAATTCATAGGAAATCAACTCCCAATAGAAACAATCTGCCGGGCTCGGGTTTCAAAACCTCTAACACCACTTGACCCCCCAAAGGACATTCAAAGAGGTAAATGGCCCACATGCTGTGTGGCTCTCATCCCTCATTCTAGGCACACCTCCGGAAGACACACTGTTGCCACGCCTCCACCACCACCCCGCCAAAAGTCGTTGCGGTAAAGAGTTATGGCCAATAAACAAAATCACTGCCAGGAAAACACGGGGCTTTGTTTGCGGGAAAATCGGGCTTTCGTCGACACTTGGGACTCGCCACTTGGCCATGCCAATGGGCATATCTATGGGTTCTCCGGATGACAAACAAAACAATCGACTGAGTCGCAGTCCATAAAACAATAAGCACCAGGACCCAGGGATCCACCGTGGAGACCCGTTCAGTTAATCTATCGGCAGCGCGTTGAAATGCGAATTTAATACGAATTGTTGGTTGAAATTTATGGTTTATGGGAAGCCCATTAAAATGCCAGACTCCTCTACGTGTAACGCCTCCCCTCCCCTTTCCGCCGCCCACACGTGTATGCAAAGCCCTGCTGTGGGGGACCGACCGACTGGAGATCTGTCTGTGTAACTTTTGGTGACAGTGTTTAATTGCTCATATTGAACACGTGTTGGCAGGAAGGAACAACAGTCGCATCTCAGCCTGGGATTGGGCACGCCTCAGTAGCCCTGACGACTGCTCTGACTGCCGTCTGTGTGAGTATTATGGTCGGCAGCAAATTGCTTTTTCAGCTTTTTCACTTTTTTGTGGCACGCTTTGGGTCTCCGCTTTGGTCAGCTCAAGTTCTGGCCAGAACTCCAGTCCAACAACAGTGCAACTTCCGTCGAGTTCTCGGTCCAAGGCAGTTATGTGCACATATTTTCTCGCCAATTCTGCACGTCACGAGGAGTTCACTTGAGTTTTCCCTCGGTTTCGCTCTGTTTTTCGTGTTTTCTTTTTCTCGGTTTTTTTTTTGTTGTTGTTGTGCCCGCTTTTTTCCGTTGAGTCAACAGAATTGCGTATCCAGAATGGGATTCCCCGACCAATGGATGCTAAACCACTCGAATTGCCAAGTGCTGGGGGGCTCACGGATAGACACATACTCGTAAATTTAACAGCCTCCGAGCTAGCCCTGATTGAGCAAGACACTTCAATTGGCACCTACATGGCACTTGATCTACGTATTCCCGCTCCCCAATCGACCGGTCCCATTGCAGGTCTGGCATTAAATATTATTATTGCATGTTGGCAATTTATAAGCTGAAAATTCATGTGGCTATAAAAATTATGCGCATCACGGTGCCACAAAAAATGGCTGTTAGTTTTTCAGCTTCTGCTGCTGCTGTTGCCACTCCTGGCGGTGATAGTGCACTCAAACAAAAGCAGAAAGCATTAAACATAATCGTAAAATGCATTTACGACTGTGTGTATCTCTGCATCTATGTTTGTGTGTTTCCGCTTGATTCCCATTGAGTGTGTGTGTTGAAAGTTTTGCGTGCTTAAATTTTGGTTATTGTTATTTGTACGGTGCAGCTATTAAGAGTTTTATTTTAATTGAAATATATGTATAGGCATTAAAAAACCGCACACACACGTCTGTGCTGCTGAGTTTAGAGTTGCTGATGAGAGAGTATGTTCTGTCCATTTGATCCCATTCCTAGTGCCATCATCTTCACAATAGCCATACGATTGCCATGCCGATTATTAAAATTTAATATGTTACAGAAAGGTATTAAGTACGGAGTATCGGCATATTTATTTATTGCAACAACATGGGTTATTTATGGCTATGTCCGTTTCCATTTGGTGCGCAAATTGAATGCCAGCCAAGTAATTGGACTAAAAGGGATTTAGTTATGGACTTTAATGGAATATTTTTCGGTTTTCTTCATTGCTGTTTCTCTAAAAGCATTCTCTGCTTCAAACTCGTGTGAATATGGAACCCCACATCAAAGCTGGCATCCATCCCATTATGGCACAACATCAACGCCTGCACTGGTGTTGTCATTAGCCCCCGACTGCTCCCCACACAACCACTAGAATCGCCCTACCTCCCCTATTATTTCTCCCTCCACTCCTCGCGGGGTCATCCAACCCGGACCACACAACAGAATGGCTTCTCCACGTCGTCATCTTCATCCTCCCTCTAACAAAGTGCAGCGCTTCAGTTTTTTTGACAGACATTGCTCCCCAAATTTAATGTCAGCCCTGCCTTTGCCTTGGCTCCTGGGAAAATGTTGGTTTACAGAAGAGAAGCAAAAAAAAAAGAGAAGCCAAAGCCAAAAACAGAAAGACCAGGGGAAAGCGTAGGGACGGCTAGCCGAAGCAAAGGGAAGGACGAAACGAAAATCGCGTATACGCCACATGGCCACAGAGTGAAGACTGTCTCTGACTGTCCCCAGCTGTACATGCAGCACTTTCAGCTCTAATAAATGAAATCAGGGAGCGTAACATTATGTGATGGATATATTGTTACGGATACGAGCTGTGTCCCACGCGAGCCGAACTCTCGTCCTGCCTTTGCCCTGCGCCTTTAATAGTTTATATTGTTTCCAGTTGCATTTTCTCTTATGGCGAGTCCTCCTCCGTTTTATACCACTTTTTCTGTCGCGTAATTTTCCGCATGTTGCCTTTGAATATGCAAAAAAAAAACAGACGAATACACAAAACGAATATCCAGCCAAAATGCAAATGGACAGTTGAATAATTGCTAAAGCTGATGAATGACAACATCAGGGGAAACCATCACTTGGGCCACGGGTTTGCCAGAATTTCCTGTGTTGTGCTGATGAAGTGCTGATGGTTTCCACAACCACTTTGATTGGCATTTTAATGCGATGTTGCACGTGGCATGTTATTATGCATTAAGCTCCTTTGCTGCTGCTGATGCTGCTCCGCAAAAATTGGTGCATAAAAAATAATATTAACAATTCATATAACTGTAAACGACCGAACAGGGTGTTGGCCACCTCTCTTACCTCTTTTTATGGCCAAGGCATTAAAGTTTTTAGGGTGGCCTCTAAAAGCAAAATTGAAAAGTTGAGAAGTTTGGGTCCAGATTCTAGCTTCTGTTTTTAGAGTTAAAGTTTTTTACAGTAAATATTCAGCATATAAATACCGCCTTATCTCAGTCGAGGAATGTCTTATTTAGAGGGGATATCCATATGGGTATAATATAATCATAATGGGAGAGTATCCGCTGTGAAAAACAATCCTTACTTGGGATCCAAATTAAAGAAAATAATAAACACAACCTTGAAACGTACATAAGTCTAGCCTTCAGCGAACATTTAATAAATATTCTAGAATAAATTTCCATTGCGACGCCCACCCACCCACTAAGTGGTACGATACGTAACCAGCCGGGCCATAAATATCGTGTGCATTTTTCAATTTAACCATTTCCTCCTGCGTGTGCCGAGGAAAATTATTTATGGCATGCAAAAACTGCTCCGGCCATAATAATGCACATCACATACTTGTTGGGCCAATAAAATTACAATTGCCTGTTTCTGCCCAGGAAGTTTCTAATTTGGTTTTCCATTGCAATTCAATTAAGACGTTAATTGGCTCTGGAGAAGTCGAAAAGACAGAGAGACCCATAGACCAAGATACGAGTAGAGAATTAGCCAAAAACACAACAGCCAGCGATGGTCTGAGCCCGAGGAAATGGACGATTTCCTGGCGACCAGGCCAAAATCAGACCAGGCCAAAGCGAAGCCAAATCAAGCAGCAAAACTTTTGTAACTAGCTCTGTGGTTTATTTAGCATAGAATTTCTATGTGCAGTCAGGGGTGGAGATTCCATGCAGAAGACGGAGACGGAGACTGCAGGGCCTGGGACCACTCATGTGCATGCCTAATGAAGCCATCCAGAGAGCGTTGGAATTGATGAACAAGCAGTTGACGATGAAGAAGACGCCTGGGAAGTTTTGTAGCAGGCGGCAAACTTTGCCAGGACTTGGCACAGGACAGGACAGGGCATCGCTCAGCGCAGAGCGATGCCCTATATGTGTGTGTGCCTGGTGCCTGGTCATGTACGGACACAGAAATCAATTAAGTTAATTTCCGCACGTTGCGTGAGCATCGACAGGCACTACAAGGACAAGGACGAGGGATTACCAGCAGACTAGAACCTGAACTTGGGACGGGAGTCAATAAAACTTTTCATCGACAACAAACGGGATGTGCATAATTCTGCCATTGACTGGAAACAGAGAAAACTTTACAAAGATTGTCTGTCGGAGGGGAAGTGGAACTTGAACGACGAACGACTCTCCATCAAAGTCAAAAAGTTTAATTGGCTTGGCGACACTCTTCGAGGAGCACGCTCCAAATCAATTTGCTAACAAAATGTTTCTCTCTTCCCCATTTCCCCTTTTTGCTGTACAGATTGGATTGCTACGCGGTGGCAAGATGTTAGCCGAGGAGTCGCCGGACTATCTGAGGCAGCAGTACAATGCGGACTCACTGGAAGCTGTATTCCTTAAGCTCTCGGTGATGCAGAATATGGGCAAGCGTCGTCGCTCGTCCATTGCCCAGGAGATAGTCGAACAGGTGACGGTCCCAGCCATCTCCAATCCTGCCCTGGACATGTCCGATGAGCAGCATGCCGCTGAGATTTCCGGCGAGTTCGGCGACAACATATCGATGTCCTCTGCTGCCCGGGACCCCATCACCAGCACAGCCCCAGTTGCTCCGCCCTTGCCGCCTGCACAGGAGATACCCGCCTCCTTCTGGTACAACCTGCATGTGATGCAATCGCATCATCTGCACGCGCTCATTTGGAAGAACTTCCTCTGGATGATGCGGAATGTGGGGTAAGTACGGGGTATAAGAATACCCATATAAGCCTTGAACCTTGCTCGAGTTCGGCTCTGGTATAATAGAGTATCTTGTGCATCAATCAGTACGAGTATGAACGAACTTTCGGTTAATTTTCCAACAGGGTAATGCTGTTCATTGTGGGCCTGCCTGTGGTTCAGATACTGCTGTTCTGCTATGCCATCGGCCATGATCCTACCGGGCTCAAAGTGGCCGTGGCGAATCACGAGATGTCTGAGGAAATGATTATGCAACAATTCTGTCCAGTGAACTCCGGATGCAATCAGACAATGCTGAGCTGCCGCTATATCGATATGCTGGTCAAGAACAAGAGCATGGTTGTGGTGAGTGCAATGTAAATTACCTTTCCTCCCCAGAGACAGAGGGAAAGGGACACAGAAGCAGGATGAGCAGAAGCAGAAGGAGCAACACCCCGGGGGTGCAATATCAGCTGTCATTGGCTTTTCGGTTAAATTGTGCAGTGCGAACTTTACAATAACCACTCATGTAGCTTATTCAAGGATGCTCCCAGTACGCTGCCGCTGCCCAGACCCGACCCTGTTGGCCATTCATGTAATTTATTTCAATTTGTGAGGACAGGCAGAGAGCTGCTCCTGTTGGGTGGCCTGGCCCTTCTGCTGGAGGCTCTTCAATCTACTGCACACATCATCTCGTCCTCCCCCACTCCTAGCTCAACTCCTGCAAGGTCTCTCCGTATTCCGAGTATCGACTTGGCATTGTCTTGGCTACTGTTTCCCCTGCTCCAGCCAGACAAATGTGGATGCTTCTGCTTTGCCCTTGGTGTTGGGGCGAACACAAATTACAGCTGCTTATCTTTGGCACAGCAACAACGGGGCCGTCTGTCCGGCAGTCTGTCGAGATCATCAATAAATTTACTGTCCCGGCCCGGCTCTAGCTCTGGCTGTGGTTCTGGGCCGGGACAAAAGTAGTAGGGGGATTCATGCCATGCAGCTTGGGGCAATTTATTGCAAATTACGCTTCAAAAACAAAGTCTCTTTTGTTGCCTAATTTGAGTTTCAGTTCGAGGCCTTGCCTCTCGACTTCTGCTTATAATTTCATGCATTTTACATTAGACACTCAAGCAACAGCAACGCCAAGACCAAGTCGGAAATTTTTCACCATTAGTTTTCTCAGAAAACTTGTCTTAAGGAAAACACAAACAAAACTTAAATTCTTTCGGTGGAAAAGTTTATGCAAAATTTAAAGTTTTCTAAAAGGTTTTTTTTGGCGCGAAAGGCTGTTTTCAAGTTCTTAGAGTGCCCCAAAATTATACTCAAATATTGTTTCATTCAATGTCCAAGAAAATTCCCTTAGACAATCAATTGTTTTCCAAAGAAAGACAATAAAACGGAAACAACATTGGCCCTATCGAGGAATATCCAATAAAAAAAAAGGTACACCTAACAGACCGTAACCTCCTTAATTTTCTTAAATTTTCAAATAACAATATAATAAAGAGCGGCATAGCAACAACAACAACAACAACAACCCAGTGGCATGCCCCAACTGGCAATTTGTGAAGAAAAGTTCTTACCTTTGGAAATTGAAAAGCAGCTCGAGTCCCCCCATCATACTTAATTTGTATAAATTCAGAGACTGGAGATAAAAATACGGAAAAATAATACGCGGCCGCGTATCTTTAGGCCGCATCAAAGGCCCGCCCGTGCTCGCCTCCTTCCACCTTCCGAGCCTGGTCAACCCCAAACCCAAAACCGAAGTGAATGGTGGGGAGCAGAGAGAGGAAGCAAAGTTAATTTTGGTCAATGAACAGCGTATCAACGTGCCATCAGCACATGGCCATTTCCAGGACCTTGAGCCATCTCACCTTCCCGATCTCCCCAGCCAAACGAAAAGCTGGCGGCGGCTTTTGAAAAAATTTGAATTTGGTTGCCGCCCTGCCACCCTGCCGCAGTGCTTCTTGCTTTTCCAATAACAGTTTTTCCCGTGCCTTTTCTCAGCCAAAGACGTGTCAGGGTATATGGGTTTTTGTGTGAAAAAGATAACTGAATACCTGGTACATTTCTTGTAATATCTCAAGGGTGTTTTCATAGTCCATACATTCATAACGTTAGCTTTCGCTTCGGCTTCATTTCCGATGACAGCTTGCATATATTTGGCTCACCAAAGAGGAAAAGCGCATCTATTTTTGGGGAAACGCCACAATTGTTTTTTGTTCTTTCGCCTTTTGGTTGCTTGTTTTCCTTTCTCTTTTTCGTCCATCTTTCTGTAGATCAAACGCATTTCGGTTACCCTCGTCTTAACGACACAAAAATTGGCCTTTGTTTTGCGGAGTCCCTGCCTGGGGGCGACCGACTGAAAGGCTGCTGTAATAATTTTCACAAAACTTCTGCCCGAAAAGGGCGAAAAGTCTTCTGCCTTCTAATTTATGGGAAAATTGAAAAACATATTGTGGTCAGCCGATGTCGCTGGCGCTGGCGCTGGTCGCTGGGCTGTTGTCGTGGCTTCTAATTAAAAGTTCATTAGGCATGACAACGCTGCTCATTAGGCCAGGGCCAGGCTAGGGGGTGTGCCCAGATGCCGGAGAAACTGCACTTCGGTTCGGGGGGGTTCTGCTCGGATCCACTTTTTCATAGGAATCCCTCCTTGGCTACGCTTCTGATAGCACTTGATTAGCGACAAGCTTTAACTTCCAGAGAATGCAGTTTATAGGGTTTTTTTCTTTCTAGAAAGATTTTATGAGGCAAAGTTGGAGGCAAAGTCGAAACAAAAATTGCCAAGGTAGTAGAAGATAGGGAATGGCTAGGGATAGGGAAAGTTTTTCCTGCTCCTTTCGAGCTCATTTGCGTAGAGCTTCCTCTGACCAAGTTGACTTCATTTGCGCATAGTTTGTGGCTCAAGTTTGTCATAAACAATGTTGAAGTTGAGGTTAAACAGTAGCATAAAAGTTGTTCAAGTCTTGCGGTTTGATTGTCTGCTGCTTGGTTGCTGATGAAGGGCTATTTAATATCATAATTTATGCCAAGTCTCTGGGGTCTCTACACAACAACTACTGCCGCTAGGAGAACTTTAAGGTGTTCTCGCCTTCTTTTATCACAAGGCCATCGGCGAAACAAAGTTTCCTCCGAGCAAACACACATACCATTCAGGCATTAAATCTAATGAGGCCAATTAAAACCACATACTCTTACTCTACGCAGAATCCTATATATATGTAACATATCAGAGCCCATTGTCTGAATGTGTTCATTTGTCTCAGCATTAATGCGGCAATTGCGTAAATTTCACGCCTGCTGGAAAGGTTCTTTGCCCATCCCTATCCGTATCCCTATCTCTATCCTTTCTTGGGTTTAAATAACTGCATATCGAAGCCGCAAAATTGCTCAAGCTTAGCCCAAATACAAATGCCAATACACGCTCTATCCCATCCCATCCCATTCCGCAGCCATAACCATTTCCATGGCACGTTTTGTGGCAAGAAATCCCGCCTAGTCTGCGGCCTATTGTGGGTACACAAGTGGCTGCCAAAAAGTTCGGCAAAAGTTTTCCCTGCGAATCTCCGGCGAGAGAGCAACTTAATCAATGTGTGAGCACTTACAGAAACTAGCTTAATACCCGGAGAAGGAGCTCCACTCCTCCGGGGGCTTTCACTTCATTATTTATTTTTGCGTAGACCAGAACACAAAAAAATAGAGCGGGAATGTAACGAAATGAAATTGTTAAAGATAACATGAACATATTGTTGACAACAGCTACACCGTAGGCTCCGCTTTCTTTTCTCTCACTCTCCGCGGAGCAGAGGATGTTACTGCTGCTGTCCTTTGTTCTTGATTTGTTTGCCTCGCTGAATTTATCGCTTTGCGCAAAGTACGCACATTAATTACGGGGAGTTACTTTTATTGTTGCTACAACGCCCAACATGCAACAAACAATGCGACAGGAAATGAAGCGACACATACACGCACACAATGAGGCACAAAGAGATGGCTGGCTCACAAAGCTTCCAAGAAAGGAAGTGCTCACGGGCAGGCAGGCATCGAGGCAGGCATCGCGGCCTGAATTCCCGACATGCGTTACTCAATAATTCAGCGGCTCGGGCTCGGGGTCCGCTCCGCTCTGCTCCACTCTGCTCTGCTTTTAATTGCGCAACAACACAAGTCATTCCGGCATCTGTCTGGCAGGTGCAATGACTTTTTAAGCTAATTGAATGAGCATTTGATTGACTGTTGGCATTTACCGTCACCCCACCCTGACTCTGTTCTCCCCAGAAATATGTGGACGACGACGAGGCCGCCTACGAAGAGGTGAAGCGCGGCAAGGCCTGGGCCGCTTTGGTAATCCAACCCAACTACACCTCGGCCCTAATGGAGCGTGTAGAGGATGGCCGATATGCAGAGGATGCCACCATCGAGGCCTCCGATCTGGGGGTGCGCATGGACTGGTCCAGTAAGTAGTCTCTTAGTCTCTTAGTCGCCATTTGATTTGCTTTCGATAAATGTCTCTCCTTCCCTCCCCAGATCAACAAATCTCTACACTGCTATACCGGGACCTACAGTACACATTCTTTGACTTTGTGGAGAGCATGCTGACCGAATGCGAGGTGAATCCCAAGCTGGGGCGCGTGCCCGTCTCAACTGAGCAGCCCATCTATGGCTATCGGAATCCCAACTTTACGGACTTCGCCGCGCCCGGCGTGATACTGACCATTATTTTCTTTCTGTCCGTGGCCATAACATCGGGTGCTATGCTGATTGAACGCAACGAGGGAATGCTGGAGCGGTGCCTGGTGGCGGGCATCACGGGCCCCGAAATCCTGCTCTCACAGGTGGTCACACAGTTCACGGTTATGCTCAGTCAGACGATCTTCGTTCTTATCGTCAGCTTCTACTTCTTTGAGCTAACTTTGGTGGGCGATATCTGGCTGGTGGTGGCTCTTTGCATCCTCAACGGCCTGTGCGGCATGAGCTTTGGGTTTGTCATCTCGTGCGCCGTCGACACGGAGAGGACGGCCACTTATGTGGCCATGGGCTCGTTTCTGCCCATCGTGATGCTGTGCGGCATCATTTGGCCCATCGAGGGCATGTTCCCGTTGCTGCAGTTCGCCACCGCCTTCCTGCCGCTGACCAAACCCACGGAATCGATGCGTTCCATCCTGCAACGCGGCTGGGGCATCGACAATCCCACTGTCTACAATGGCTTCATTTCGATTTCGTCATGGGTGCTGGTGTTCCTTGTGCTCACCATCCTTTTGCTCAAATTCAAGAAAGGATAAGTTTTAGAGCTGTAGATTGAGCATACTTCTTATGATTTTACTAGGTTGTAAGGGTAGTCCGTACACTCTATGTCTTACTGTATGTCTCTTGTACAATGTTTAAATCTAAGATAGGTTCCGGAATTCAACTATGTCACTTACTATGCATGGAAATTGTTGTGCCTTGTAGGTTTAAGTCCTCATGTCCTCACATCATTCACCTCCTTTCAGTACAATGAGAACTGTAATTACATCTGAAAACATTTTATTTATGCCCTTAAGCTTGTGAACAAAAAATTTGAATAAAATTTATAGATGAACGCTTACAAAAGATTTACTCCACAAATTAATGCGAGAAAACTCTTCGTTTGCGTTGCTTTGGTAATTGTGATTTGTTCACCTAGTACTAAGCTTTGGGATTGCTTTGATTGCATACGGAGAGCAAGCAAAGCTGGAAAATTCCCAGAGCCAACAGTCCTAGTCTCTGGCTGCATTGTGAAAGTTGGAGCCAAGTGGTCCTGTGGTCCTTTCAATCAGTCATTGGTTTTGCCAATATTTATTTACCAAGTATCTGCAATCAAAGACCATCAGAAAGAAAAGGGAGCCCCCTGTTCCGTGAGCTCTCTTTTGCTCACAGTTTGTTACGAATACTGTTCTAGTTCCAGCATTATTTGTGCGGCCCCAATGGGAGATGGTGAGGGTGACTCGTTTTCGACACATTTCACATTTTGTGGCAAAATCAATTAAACCGGAAATGCATGTAGACCATGAGTGAGTGGCACACACACACCACACACACACACGTGCAGCAGGCAGAGAGGCAGCATCCGCTTAACACGAAAATTCAACTTAACAAGCGAACAAAGTGCCTGGTGAGCCAACGACTCGAATGGAGTTCTGACTGAACACAAAAAAAAAGGAGAGTAACTAGAGAGAGAGAGGCAGAGAGAAAGATAGAGAGAGAGAGAAAGTGTGCTTGTGCTTTTAGGTGTTACATATGCATATGTAGGTCAGGCCAGCATGGGGCGTGGCTGAAACAACAGTAACTTGATCCACATGTCGTCCGTTTCCGTGACTGTCACACTGGGTTCGGATTGCATCGATGGCAAAGTTCAGACTTCATTCTTCCTCAGTCCCTGTGGCCAATGTCCTCCATCATCAGCGCTGGAGCGCTGGCAAATCAGTCAGACGATGGCTGCCAGAATGGCGCCCGAGACGTGTGTATTTACAATTAGATATCCGTCAGCAATCTATATAACATTTCAAAGTACCAGAAGGACCAGATGTAGCAGCGGGAGTCGCATTTGCCATTATTTTTTCCACATTCCTCTTTGAATTGATTCAGTGTGTAAGTGAGAGGAGGAGTCTTTGAGTCCGTCGGTGTCTGTGTCTGTGTCTGGTTCTGTGGATCTCTCTCTCGTCCATCCATTGATTACTCGAGTGTAGCTGACGGCGGCACTCGAGCACATAAATTGGAAAATTCAGCATCCAGGGGCAAAAATCTCATTTTCATTTCATCCAGAGGTCCCGTTCCGCCTTCTTCCTATCTCTCGCCCTCCCACATAATTGAAAGTTCAAAGTTTTCGACTTGCCGCTGAATTAATTTTTCAACTTCATAATTTCACGTGCTCCGTGAAGCTTTAATAACAGCATCCCCCAGCCATCGCCATCCACGAGATGGGCTTCTACGGCCATTTCCATTCACATTCCCATTCACATCTCTGTCGGCAGCTGTCTTCAATGGCTTCTCCTTTGTTTGTGGCTTGAGCTGCTCATCTTTTTCTGCCACACTCCATTTCCATCTCCATCTCCGACGCCGTCTCAGCCTCTTGCTCCTTTTGCCTGCTTCACCAATGGTGTGATAATTAATTGCTCAATTAATTTAATGCTCAGAGGCTGCCTTCCCTTTTCACTCTGACTGTTGCTGGTTGCTGTCCCAAAAAGCCAATTGTCTGTTGTTTTCAATGGCCTGCACTTTATACAAAATGTCAACGCACCGAAGGAATCCTTTGGGGTTTTCGTGAAACCGTTTTCTGTTTAGTTTTGGGGTCAACATAACCATGTATATTAATAGCAGGCCATCTCTGAAACCAGGTAAGGTAGGATTCCTTCCTAAATGACCCCTACCCTTTGCGGATCCTGGTATTTTTTTTTTTTTTTTTGGTTAGAACTATTATTGATGTTGGATAATTAACATTTAGGCACCCAGATCCATCTGCATCCATCACATAGAGGAGATCACTTCAAGATATCTTCAATTATTTAATCCCAATTAAAACTGGATTAGTCAAGGCACATTTCATGCATCCATCGCTCATAATCGCATGCCCTTTATTATTTTAATGAGTGGCATTAATTATATGAGGTGCATGATGTGCAGCTCGTGTGCCAGAAGCAAACAAAATTGAGAAGCCCTTTGATTTCTGTTCCTGGATGCATTGCGAATCGATTCGGTTTGCTATGCTTTGTCTGGGGAAATTGTGTAATGAAAACGTCAATCAATTTTCCCATGATTTGCCATTAAAGTGTGTGTGTTGGTAGTGCGGACCAGTCTACACCTTGTGTCACACACATGGCTGTTCCACTCAATGCCAATTGCAAATTGAGTTCATCTGCTGGCGGCAAATATTGACATGACAGACACATTTTTATTTTATTTTATTTGCATTTTTATTTCTCTCTTTTCACCCGCTCTCTCTAGGCCCACCCATGGCTCATTCACCATTTAGCCCCTCCCCCTCTCCCTGTGCTGCTGACTGTTCTGGTTTATTTTTCGCCTTTTTCAATTTTTCCACAGCTTCATCTTTACTGCTTCTGCTCGGGGCACAACCCCTCAACATTTGCTCGGCATTTTCTTGGCTCTCCTTTCTGGCGTGTCCTTTTCCCACTTTATCTCATGTCGACCTCCGCTTCGTTGCTCGGATTCTGTGTGTCTGAGTCTGTGTGTCTATGTCTGTGTAGGTGGTAGGTGTATGTGTAGGTGGCAAAAATGACATATTAATTTCCAAAGGGGAAACGAAATAATATAAATGGAGTTGTCGCTCCGAGCTTAAGCATGTAAGCTACGCCATACCCATTCCCTGTCACACTTAGAGCACATTCACATGCAAATTGCTTGGCGAAATCTAAATAAATATGATCAGGGAAATCAACACTGGCAGCCTGGTCTCGCCATCGCCGGTAATTGTTTGAGCATTACATTACGTATACGACTCGTAATCCAGCAATCTAGCGGTAACAAAAATTAATCTATGTATTACGGTATTTCGGATATTTTCACCGCTTTTGATGAAGTCGTCCAGCATCGCTGCCCCCCCGCACAGACAATACTGCCAGCAAGCCACGCGCCACCATCAATCATCCTTTGACATACACCCACACTCGCACGCGCGGCATTCAGCAGCTTCGAGTAGAAGATAAAGGCAAGGACGAATACAGGAAGACAGGATATGACCGTCAGTCAGTCATTCAGCTATGCGAAGAGTCTTTCAGTCAGCTTACCAGTTGTGGGGCATCTCTCCATACTGTCCATACCTCAATTGAAAAGCACTTTGGAAAAGGATAATAACGATAAATTTTTTATTGTAATGTGTTTTGCAGTGTTTACATGCCGGCTGCGCCTTATGCCAGCCCGCCAGCGAGGGCAGCTTAACGAGTTTATCTAGAAAAACTCTCTTGATTCGATTGAAGATTTAGGCCGGATAAATACAATGGCAATAAACTGGAACGATAAATGACACTCACTGCGAAAATGGCAGACAACCTCAACAAGTACATCGAGCAATTACATACGATTCGTTTATTCGTCTCGCATTCGAGTACGAGCCAAATAAATAAATATTAAATATTCCGATCATCCGAAAGTGCTGATTGATGCTATAAGCAAAGAATGTCCCATTGTCATGTGGTCAAATTCAAACAGGAGTCATTTGGTATGTATAGCGCATTAGGAAAATTATAATTACCCTAAATAGAGACGCCACGCATCCAGATTCAGACCTGTTTTTGACGTCCTACAAAAGGAAAACGAGATTTAAGGGAGTATTTCTCAGTCTCCCCTCGCCACAGCCATAGCAACTGCCAAAACAGCGTGTATTGCCATTATTTTCCAAGCAGGATCTAAAGCCGCCGTTGATGCCTCTCTAGTCCTCCCACGACTTTGTCCCGAACTCCCACCAACCCCTCCCTCCCCTACGAATGTATGAGGACAATTTGCAGTCTCTGTCGACGTTGACGCCGACGTTTCACGTCCACGTCGCCTTTCATGCTGTTGCGCGCGCTTACGGGCAACACTTAATCGGCTTCCGGGGATATTTGGGATTTAGGGCGGAAACCTATTTGTGTCAAGACGCAGTGAGTGTTCTGCTCCGCTTACCCCTCTGCCAAGGGGCCCTACTCCAAAACGGGACCCAGCATTTCCTCGCCAACATCTTTGGGGCTTTGTCGCCCACTCTTTTCATTTTAGGCATTTTCCTTTGGCAGCATATTTAGTCTTTTGTTTTGGCGACAATTTGCTGCCTGCTTTTTACTTAGCCTGATACTTAAAATTTAAAACAAAAGAGTCCTAAATAGTCCCCATCTCAAGATGAACTACTTAGTTTTTTTTTCCTTTTCTCTCTTCGGCGGCCCACGGCAAACATTACAACAATGAAGCCAATTCCGTCAACAGCCTGCGGGGCGCTGTTCGTAAATAAATGTTTCTTTATGCTGTTGCACCAACGCCATTCCAATCCCAATTCCTATCTGAACCTACTCGTTTCCCTTTGGCTACTCGCTGCTGCTGGGATAGTACGAGTACGTGCTAATGGCTCAAGAGAAAATGACACCAAACTCGAGCATAAACATGGCCAAAAGTCAGCCAAGAGGAATCGCCGGCTTTCTCATAAATATAAGTATACTTATACCTATTTTGGGGTATAACGTTTGTGCGAATATATTTGCAACGCAGGTAAGGAAGCATTTGTAAGCCTATAAGATAGATAGCTAATGATTGATCGACAACGTGGTCAACTGAGAAACAGATCTGGCTACTAGCTTTTATTTTCTTATTGCAAAATTCACAAGCCCTTCCTTTCAACCTATTAATCGAATCAAATCCTTTCAAATCTCAGGACCTGCAAGGGTATCAACAACTTCGACCACGACTCCACTGTCCATCCCTTACTGTTGTTGTTTGTGTGGAGCCTGGCTGGGTTGGCTTGGTGTTGGTGTACCACGCCCCATACTAATAACGGCCGCCGGCTGTTGCGGGGCCATTGAAAAATGCTGACTATCTGACACACTCACACACACCCTTGCACGGATTCTGAGAAACAGAGATGCAGGAGGATT